ACAGGGCAGTAGGCAAAGGTAAAGTAGCGGGAGAACAAAGGTTGGGAGGGAGGAGGAGTGAGAAGCGGGAGCAGGGGACAGAAAGAGAGGCCAATCAAGAGGTGTGAAGTCAGAATGGGTGTAGAAGGAACTTGCTCCTTATTCACTAATATATGAGGCTATGTTATTTACTCCCAGTAATTATCAAAATGTGAATTTGAAAATGTAAATTTACTTCAAAATCAGCATATCAGGGTAATGCAAATATCATCGATTGTACATCCTGAAAAAAATTATCAAGACTCTTCATTAAGATGCATACAGTATGCAAAGGTTTATAAAAACATTATTTGAAGGACTTATTTTTTTACATTAATCAGTTATTGAAATAAATATTCTAATGTATTATCTCAACAATATTTCTCAATGAAACTTTTCAAGTGTTAGAATGTATATATGTTCATCCACGAGTTTATGAAAGACTCCCATGATGGAAATGTTTCAGAGTTCTGGGTGCTTTGCCTGTGACATGACACTGTGACCAGGATTCAGGAAGCAGTGGCGCACAGCTGGCAGAGTGCGACCTGGATATGGCTGGGATTAGTTAGGCAGAGAATCTGTTGCCTTATGGAACAACAGGAACTCCTGTGACTTGCTAAATGACAGGTTTTCATGTCACAAAATTGCTGATAATCCATTTGGCCCTAACTCACCTTTCAGATGGTGAGGGGCTTGCAGACTGCCAAATGTTGACATGTCTATGTACAGTATCTCATTCTAATTGGTAATTGGTGACTCCAAATTGTAGGAATATAGTATTATATCCAAAAATAAAGAAATAACTGTTGATTTCAAACTCAAAATAGAACATTAACATGCAGAACATTAAAAAGTTTGTATAAGTTCTGAATCCAAGTTATTTGCATAAAACAACACCTGAAAAGAAAAGGTGAATTTCAAATTCCCAGTATAATATTTTTTATTTTATTTATTAATTACTCAATTTCTTCACTTCAGCACAATATGACATCTCAGATCATTTTAAATTTATCTGCACTTTGAACTGTAGATAATGAGAAAGTTGAAATGCCTTGTTAGATGTACATGGAAAGACACAGCGTGCATTTATTTTAAATCTGTCAGGTTTACATCCTAAATGGATTGCTTCATATTTTTTAATTAATTAATTACAATAACAGTTTACAAGGAACTTACTGTGTTAGCCTGTAGTAATTGTTACAAGGTCAGAGGTGATAAACATCTCTTCACAGTGGATGTAAATAGCAAATCACAATAGCCCAGGATTAGACTGGTGGATACAGCCTTATTCAGTCATACACGCATGTCATAACAGACAGAGAAAAAAAGAGAGAACACATTAACAGCTGTTACCTGATTTGAGAATATGTAGGTCAGTGGTCATATTACATTTGACATGCTGTTTTGGTATTTTGTTGCAGTTATCCTAGCAAATAAATTTGACTTGAATGGCTTTTTAGAAATTGAAAACATTTTTCCTCAATGTATCTTTGAATTCCTGATGAATAAACATCTACGAATGAGATACTAATTGAGAAGAACTGTAGAAAACATACATCACTCCCTTTGCATTGTTGCTTTCTTTTAGACTCCAGGCTCACCTTTTCATAGTGATAATCTCATTCTGCAGCTCCACAGCGGCAGACGTTGGCCTGAACTATTTGTGAGTTAAGTCAGTCAGAACCAAAAAAAACACCACCCTCTGAGAATGTTGTCAGCAGAAAGAAATAAGAGTGCCTGAGAGAAACACAAGCCCCCACACTAATTACAGAAAGAGGTGAAGATTTCCATACATTGCTAAATGTAACTGCCACCATCTGGCAGCCAGAGTTTAAATGCTCTTGGCCTGCTCATCTCTGCACCATTAATTCTGAGGGAGTAGGAGGCCTGTCTGTGAAAGTCTGAGACTGGTTCTGCACTTTCATTTTACTTTGGAAAAAGATTTGTGAAACTTCAGTCTTTTCTATTAGTCCAAAACTAAAAGACTCTAAACCGATTGTACACATACACAAGACTTATGAAATAATCCAGATACCAGTCTTTAGAGTAACTCTCAGGTATATTAAAGTAGAAATGCATGCTTGCACCATCAGCTCTTTCATTTGAAAAAATCCTTCTACGCTAAGAGCTCACTGACTGAACACTACTAATACATAGAATATATACTAATAACATTCTTTCCAGTGCACATTCAGATAAAGCTTTTATTTGGTGTGTGTGAACTGAATCAAGTGCCTTATTACAGATAATTATTGGATAATGACAAATTTACTCATGGTGAAATCTATGGTAATTCTTCCCACAAATGTCAGTAGTATATCATCCATGTCTAATAAAACACTTGCATTACTACCCATGTTTATGTACAATACAACAGATGATGCATAAACCATATGTAACAGTATGTAATGGAGTCATAGAAGGGACTAGATGCTTTGGTAAAGTCAAGCCCAGCCCATCATACATGATACATTGGACCTTGAAAAGACATTTAATGTAATGCTCTGATACTGACAAATTACAGAAATGAGCAAGCAGCTTAAAAACAAATAAATTGAATATTCATGTCTTTGATACCTTAATACAGTGAAACCCATAGAAAAAATAACATGATTTGCCAGAGAAGACAGAACTGTTACTCCGATGTGGTTCTATGGAATAACAAGCATTTTTTTCACTTTTAAGGAGAAATAATATAAGCAAGAGAATATTAAGGTAAATCAAATATCTGAAAGGAGTCATAAAGTAACAATTTTAATACTTGATTCATTCAGATAACATTGATTGAAGAGAATTCTTCATTTCAGGACCACATGTAAGTTTATAAGCTATGTTACTAAAATGTTACAGGTGTCATTGACATAACGCCAATTGATCTGTAACTTAGATCTTCCTGGGGAGAATCTTCCCCTTGGGAAGAGTCACTGTACAAACTCCACAACCAAGTGACTTAGTAGAACACCACTAATAGTACTGCAATTTATAACTTACAGTAGGTGGGAAAAAAGGCTAAGAAAGACTTTTTTAGCACCATAAAGTCTTCCAAGTTGTTTTCATTGTCTATTATGGAGAATTTTTTTTAAAACTGAATTTAGAATATTTTTTGGGTGAAAATTAATTGTATGGGGAAATAGAATACATGCACCCTCTGGTGGTAGAATACAAGATTTATACTTTTCTTACAGAAAGTACTACAAATTACAGAAGCAAAGTGGACTTATTTCAATAAGTGGAAAACAGCTCAGAAACTCCAGTTCCAAAATTTCACAAAGGCTCAGCTTGCAAACCTAGAACTGCACCTTTTTCTGAAATTTCTTGTGAAAAAGTTATTATTGGCCTATTGTACTGTATGTACAGTACCTCCTGTTATAAAAGTATATCAAACTCGACTCCATAATCTTATCAAGCCACTGTTAAATCCTGCCTGGAGGTCAAAGCTAGCAACGTTTTGTCAGAAGGTTATGGCACAACCTCCAGGCCTCTTCACACTAATTCCCTGGAAATGGAGAACTGGAATTAGTTTTTCGACATGCCCCAACCAGATATATAGCTCAATAAAGTCCTGGACTCAGGGGTCCATTATTTTGACGCTGCGGCCCATGAGCTTGGTTTTTGTATCTCCAAGCCTGTCTGATCTCCCTGATCTGCCTGCTCTGGAGCTCGGACTGGTTTGTTCTCTTGCATTCTCATCAGCCTGGTATACTGTCTTGGACCCTTTTGTGGGCCACTTTCTGCCTAGTATGAATTCATGTTGGCCTGGTATTTGCTTTTGGGTGCCTGTCAATCTGAAATATTCATTTGGGTTCCCCATGGCTCAGCAATCTGTCTAATGGAAGAGGTGTTAGTGGGTCCAGCAGGGGGCACTCACCCTGCAGTCCATGTGGGTCCTTATGCCCCAGTATGGTGACAGGGACAATATACTGTAAACAGGTGCCATCCTTCGGATGAGACGTAAAACCGAAGTCCTGACTCTCTGTGGTCATTAAAAAAATCCCAGGGCATTTCTCGAAAAGAGTATGGGTGTAACCCCGGTGTCCTGGACAAATTTTCCATTGGCCCTTACCAAACATGGCCTCCTAATAATCCCCATCTATGAATTGGCTTCATTACTCTGCTCTAATCCCCACTAATAGCTAATGTGTGGTGAGCGTTCTAGTGCACTATGGCTGCCGTCACAACATCCAGGTGGATGCTGCACATTGGTGGTGGTAGAGGGGAGTCCCCATTACCTGTAAAAGTGCTTTGAGTGGAGTGTCCAGAAAAGCGCTATATGAGTGTAAGCAATTAATTAATTAATTTCCTAACTCGCTGCATCTACTGTACCTGTCTTGGATCACCTGAACTCGAAGCCTAATCTGCGTCTTTGTGCAGTCCGAGCTTCCACGATTCTCTGTCTGTGTGTGGCTGCTCAGTTCTCTCGAAGGCTGACGGCCTGCCTCACTCCTGCCCATCCTGTTTTCTTGTCAGTACAGGCCTGGCTCTCAGCCTCCACCTGCATGGGGTCTCCGTTTGGTTGTGTGTGCAGGCTAGTGTCAAGTTGTGTATTGCTGCGGGGCTCGGCTTGGCTGACCTGTGCCCTGTGATTGGGATTCCATCCCCTGGAGGTATGACATACAGTAATAGACACACTCTGAGATAACTAAGATTATGAAATACCAAAAGGCTACCAGGTTATTTAGGGTGAAGAAAGAATTGCAAAGAAAACAGGCTGACATACAGTATACTGTGACTTCATTTATATAGCAAATTGGAAATGAGGTGACACCTGCACTACTTGAGGGTTTCTCTACCTTCTGACCTTTGTAATACCTAATAAAACTTTTGCTTAATTTGACAACATTCTGTCTCTCTGATCCTTCAGCACTTTTGTTAAGAATTCTTCAAAACAATTTTAATATTTAGCATATCATTGAACCTGGCTGCATGGTGGCGCAGTGGTTAGCATTGCTGCTTAGTGGAGCTGGGGCCCTGGGGTCATTCAAATCCAGTTCAATTCCAGGGGAGCTTTCTGCATGGGGGTTGTATATTCTCCCCATGTTCAAGTGGGTTTCCTCTGGGTGCTTCGCTTTCCTCCCACATTTCAAAAACATACTGGCAGGTTAATTGGCTACCACAACAATTGGTTCTGGTGTGTCAAGTCCACCCAGGCTCCAGCTCTTTGAGGCGGGCTGACTTTGGTATCCACACCTTCAATCTTTTAATTATTAGCACCCAGTCTTAGACAATACAGGCCACTGTAAAAGGAAAGGTTGGACTGCACTCAAGGCTCTGGAATAAGAGTCATCTGTTAATCTGTTTCTGAGACTTGCTCTCGAGTTTTTGTGTTTCTGTATGTCCACCAGATCCTGGTTTCCTGTATGCTACCTTTGTACCTGTGTTCTTGTGTTTCTAAGATCCCGAGTACTTTGTCTCCTGTTCCCTGAGCTGTGCCTAGTTTGGTTTCCCAATCTACCATGTCTGGACCTACTCCCGGATACCTCTCATGTCTGTGGTTTCCTTTATGTTTCTTTGTATCAGACTCTGCTTGTCTGCCTGTGTCTCTCTGCCTCTACTGTTATGTTTGCCTCACCACCAGAGTGGCAGACATCATACAGTATAGTCTGAGCATGTGTGTGTCTGTGTTTGTCTGTCTGCCTTGCACTGGACTAACATCCAGTACAGGGTGTACCCCTTTCTTGCACCTGTTATTTGCTGGGATAAGCTCTGGCTCCCCTGATACACTGAATTGGAAATAGTACTTGCACTTGAAGATTTAGACAACTGGTTGGCGATCAACCAGTGGAACTCTAGTACCCCCAAAACAGAAGAATTAACTTATTGCTTTGTAACAGTAAATATGTTGGTCCATTTGGTTCTTTATTTATCAGATCTTGTCCTTCCATATATGCTTTCCAATATTGCTAAACTTAACAACCTCATCATTCACAAGTTTGCTGATGGAAATTCGCTGGATCACTCCACACTGCTGGAGGAGTGGTTAGGGCTCTGGAAACCAGAGTGAACATCAGACACAAAGAATAAACACTGTAATAATATGATTGTGATTGTCATTTTCTGATTTGTGGCTTTACCTGTCCGGTTGCCTGGTTTGGGGGGCAACCATAAGCACAGAACAATCTGAATTCTCCAGCAGTAGCTACTTTATTAGTGGATGTGAAGGGTTAGCACTGGGTGAATGCTTGGATAGATTGGACTAAAGCATTATAATTAGATTTTACTAACAGGTATTGGATGGGATTGGAGTCTGTTTTTCTCATGAACATTCATTATAAAGTATAATTGACACATTAAAAACTTCTTAAAACAAATGTGTACACTTATAAGTCAAATGTACCTTATGACGTAACGACATCTTTAAAACCAATAGGATTTTTTATCTATCTACATATATTTTTAATCTATATTTTTATCTTGAAATCTCCATTTTTGGTGCAAATATTCAGCTTGATCTATATCAGCCTGTACCACTAAGAATCTTTAGCCCAAATAACGCTGCACAGCAAGGTTCCACGTTCAGATTTTGCCTAACCACTCTGAGTGGTAGTGAGAAAGAAGGCTTGGCCTGTGTCAGGAATCTTTTCTTCCAATTGATTTGTTTTTTTTTTACAGGTTTCTTTTGTGTCCAGTGTATTCTGATGCTTTAGAATTTGTTTAAAGAGAGGTCTGTTAGAAAATCCCTTTGACATTGTACTTGCAAACTGCAGCTGGGATTAATTGACCTGGATTTCCCAAGATGTAGTATTCCATTGGCTGAGCAGCACAAGGGCTTTCTTGGCCTGGCATGTTACTGCACCCTTCTCTTATGAAATTACTGTTTTATTAGTGAGAGCTACACCATTCTTTCTTCTAAAGACATGAGAGTGGGAGTGTGTGAAATTGAAATACTTTACTGTTCCCAGCAATTACCTAATCCATAACATTTCATAACATTGACAGGTTCTGAATGTTTGCAGTTCTAAGGTATGCAGCTCAGGTTTCTAGCCTTTTTGGCTATGGTTTGTCATGTATATGATAATTTTAACAAGATCTATCTAAAGTATTTCCACTGTGCTTCTCAAGTTCAGCTATTTGTCTTGTGTTCAATCTTCTCTTACCTGTGATTGAGCTGGTTCACACAATGGGTGATGAAAATGAATCTTGATAAAAAAACAGTATCTTTGTATTTTATTTAAAACATTTTTATTTGTAAACCTAATTCAGAAACATTGACATACACAAGCTATGAGCAGAAGGATAATTACTGGAGTGATAGTATTTACAGAGGATGCCATTACATCAGTTCCAGACAGAAACATACTCTGTTTTATCACTCTGTATCACCACAGTATTCACTTAACAAGAGCTTAACTGGAGGACTACTAGACCTCTGTGTCTAGCCTCATTGGAATTTCCTGTTTCCTAAACAATACAATGAGTAATTTATTTATTGTAAAAAAATATTCCTTCTTTTACATAAAGGTGTATTTCCTAGTCTTGTGCTATTTATGTAAACTGTAGCTTTACTTATGCTTCTTTAGCTTTACTTGATTAGAAAAGAAAAAGAAATAATTTCTGTAAATATAACAGGACTAGGTTTAAGGAATTCAGATGCACTTAAATTATTGTTAATAAACTGGTTTCTATATTTCAAAATATTTTTTTCTTAAAGGGGTTACAAGAAACTAACAAAAAACATTTTGGACAAATATTTGTGTAAATTGGTAACAAACCTTTTCTACTAGTGCTGATTTGTCATTTGTTTTTGACAATTTAATTATAAAACTCTTAATTAATTAAATCATAGTGTGGATTATCTGAAACATACAATTCCTCTAGTACAGTGGTTCTCATTCCTGGTACTGGGGAACCTCTCTGTCCGTGGGTCTTTGCACCAACTTAGATCTTATTCGCTGACTACTTTTCAATTTTAATTTCATTTTCTATTTGAAACCCTTTTTCCAAAACAGATTAAAAAGCTGAATTATATGTAATTGGTATAACCCCTGAACTCAAACATGAGTTTCAGGACTGCCCTCATTCAGATGTGGTAGCTGAAATATAACTAACTGGACTGAAACAGACGTTACTCTTTCTCACTATGGGAGTCCACCTGTGTCACCTGTATCCTTAATTGATGTATTATTAAGAGCTGTTTTGCCAAAAATAAGGTAGAAAATTCTTTATCAGCAAGTGGGGAACAAACTGCATAATTAAGCTACTGTACATGTGCTGAAGTACTGCAATAGTGCACTTACAGTAACTGGGGGTATTTTTGAAACCAAGAACAGAACAAATACAGTAAATCAGTTATAGGCATCTTTAACACTGATGATAAAAAGTCCAGAAGAAACAAAAACCAGCTGACATACAGTTGGGAAGATTAGGTCTAAGAACCACTGCTCTAGAATATACCATTGCTTAGCATGACATGTTACCTAGTTATGAACAGCACAAGGTCTTTTAGCAACTACAAAGTATTTATAAATTTAACTGGTATATTGAAACATTTGAATCACGAAAATTGCACTGTGAAACAATAACATTTGATGCACATTAAATACCACCATGAGAATTAAATACAGTACCTGTGAAACATTGTGAGCATAAAATAAAGATTTTGCTTTTTAAAACATATAGCCATACATATGGATTCAGACAAATTGCAAAATTGATATCAAAACTGGCCAGAGAAACCTAGATATGAACCTACACAACATCCATTGAATTGAAATGTTAAGAAGCTTAAAATGAATAAAAGATAAAGTAACATACTGTACATTGATAAAACAATTTATAATATACAGTATGTGATTTTCATTCTGTATTTTTAAGAATGTGTTTACAGTACTGTATATGCACAGTTTTGACATTACAAATTTTAACAGGCAATCTAAACAATGAATTACTATCATTAATAGTCCTGTTATTGATAGCCCTTATGGTCTGCAGGTGGAGACTTATTACTAGGGGGATCCTATGAATTTCTTTACACACTCACATTTACATCATATGGCTCATTTCTCCTCCTGTTTTCTTAAAAATGCATTTGTCACCCTTATATAACCATGTAGGACATACATTTATATAATATTGTGTGTGTATAAATTTATTTTTAATAAGTGCATCATTCACCATAGACGTATATACTTACAATTCGAATTTAAATACTCATATTTCCTATCCAAAATGTTAACAATACGTTAAACTAATTTTAGTTGCAGCTAGAGGAATTCCTTTGAAGAGGAATTTAATATGCAAGTAGCGCACTTCTGGATTATTGAAAAGGGTGGTCACATTATAGTGTGATGCATTGGCACTGACAGTCTTTGAGACATGAGGAAGAAAAGAAGCTTTACTGTATATTTATCACCACAGAATTTACTTGTGTTTAAATGTACTCTTGGAACCAGGCTAGAGTGAAAGGATTTTTCAAGGGTAATTACATAATTTCTTGTGGGGTTTAAATTGTAGACATTGGGAATATAGATCAATGCCTCTCTGAGAGTAGTGTGACATTCCTTCAATACGGATATGTTTCACTTCTGCTTTAAATGATGTACATCCTATTTAAAAGAAACAGCCATTATGCATTATGTTGTGCATTATGTTGTGCACACTCTTAATGTGTCTATTGTTTTACAAATAGAAAAAAAAAACAAATCTGTTTTTCTTCATTCCCAAAGACACCCATGTGAAGAAAGAAACGTAGTGTAGAATTAGTAATTGTTCTGCAATAATAAATATTTAAGAGGCAAAACAGCATTTATCTATACAATTTAATTCAATGGGGCAGTATTGCCCTCTTATGGTAATTATTATTAATTGCAATCTTCTGACAATCATTCAAAACCCTTGGTTTTAGACTTCAGCATTTTTAACATTAAGTCCTCTTTAAACATTTCGTTTTATTTTACGACTACAGAATGGACATACTTTACCAAACTTTTATCTGACTATATTTTAAACAAAATATGATTGTTACAGTTGTCCTTAGGGACGGTACATACTGTAGATGTCAACAAGTTAAAACTAACAACATAAGCAACAATCCCTTTTAATGACTTAAATTGTGGTTCTGTCAATACCAAAAAGAACAGCGATACGACGGGCCCACTCGGGCTATGACAATAATCTAGGAGTCAAATACAAATATGCAAATTACATTTAGAAATCTGCCACCATTAAAATGCAAACCTTAATTCCGGAAACAATGTATCCATCTGCTGCAGTTTATACTGCTTTCAGCAAGTGCTTACGTTACAGAAAATAAAATCAATACATGTAATGTTTATTTAGAAGACCATAGTGAAGATAAATTCAAAGTATTTTTTCAAGAAGTCTTAAGACATCAGTGCAAAATAAATTGGCAAATCGTCCTGTCAAAAACGCAAATCGGCGTGATATTCCAAACGGATTAAAAGTCTATCAAATGCAAGTCTGCTGACTGATGTAAGCAATGAAACTGCATGTCGAATCAGTTCATAATAGGCCTAGCTGTTTCACTGGCAGAAGAAACACAAGCGATTTGCTGTTTTCTTTCTGGAGAATCAAAGACGGTGTGAAAGCTGTAGTGGAACTATGTGCCGCTACACGTTTCGCGGGGTATCTGTAAAGTTTCGTCAATTGTAACAATGAGCTCGTCTGGTGTGATAGCGTTCACAAAGTGATTGTCAGTGATGTGGTTCATCTCCTGTAATTGCGGCTGTTCGTTTATTTCGTTCATGCTGTTGGTTATACAGTTTATATCACTCTTGTTGCTGCTGTCGTCCGGACCTGGTCCAAATATCCAGTCTGGAATAATAAAAGAGAAACGCCACGGTTAAAATCGTGTTTTAAAAGACCTTTGCTTACAATTCTGATGTAATTCCAGATTCTGCTCAGAATGGCCCTCCAATTTGATTAAAAAAAACTGGTTAACCCGACCAAAGGCATGAAACAAGCAGCTCTAGAAGGATTCCTGCACAGATTCAAATTGACTACTTAGTGTTTCCGTTACGTCTGAAACGTCTCCTTGTAAAAAAATCTTTAGAAAAATGTTACGACGACCTGCTCTTAAAAATTTGTTTGAAACTCAGACATACTGTATGAAACTCAGACACTTCCTGTGTTCCAGGCTAAAGGTATTCAATTTCCTCAACCTGTCTATAAATGTCAGGCACTTCAAATGTAGAATTAGGCTAGAACTTAAACTAAACTCCTTTCACTACAACAATATTCATTTTTGCAGTGATCAAAATAGTCTAAATCAGGTTATATAAAAATTAAGTACTGTACCAATACTGTTATTGATCCAATAATTTATTTAACCCTGTATTCAACCACTTGTGTTTGGACATTGGGCCTTTTTTGTTCTATGTCCTATTCATTGAATAGTCCATGACAATACCACTTATGAGTTTTTTTAGGCTTATTTGATTGTAAAAATCTGGAACCAGCCCTTTTAATTGCATTAATAGTTATTTTTAAAGAATATTATATGTTTTTAAGCTTAATGATGTACATGTATAAAAATAATCATAATCAAACACGTTTTATACTGTGCATGAGTGATGAGAATCTTTCCCTAAAGTAGACACAAAGGTTTATGGAGTTATAGATCATTTATAGATATTCATACTATAGGTGAATGTTCTCCTGGGGCTCATGCATAGTAACAGAAGGTCTATCTAATGTCTGATCCGTAAGCCTTTTTTTAAAAAGTCTCTTTAGAGAAAAAAAGGTTACAGCATTCAGTTATAAGGATGCTAGTAAAATATACAGAACCTGAACCAGTGTTACTGACTGAATACTATAAACTGGTACAGTGGCATGTCACATGAATTAAACAGAAGCTACTAGTATTTCATAAAATGATCAGCTGTGGCCTGCTGAAGTAACTTTCATCTTAAAATTGACTTTTTAAGTGCTAATCTTTTGTTCTATCATCTTTACTTTTGCTTTTCTTATCTTCTTGTTTGAATACTTTATGTTTCTTCTACTTGAGTAAGGGTTTTATGTGTGCTGTGCTGACAACAGGCTTCATGTTTATTCATTCCAGTGACACAAATTGGGTTCAAGGCCCCATTGGTTATGTACTGTACGTCTTTGAGAGCCATATTATCTGTCACCATTTCGATAGGAAAAGTAGTCTACCATGAACAGTGTCAGGGCAATTTTATATACAGTATATATTTTTGGATTTAATGAGAAATGGCCTTTTTCTCTACTCCGAAAAAAAAATCACCTTATACAGTAGATCTTACAACCCATGCAAGGTTGCTTGAAAGTCTCAAGAGCTGTGTAAGTGCTTTTCAAAGATTCCTGCTGGAATTCGAACTGTCAATGTACAAAATCCAAGGCAATTGGCATACTGTTCTGCAAGTGTAGATGGGAATGGTCAGTCATGTGCATGTGTTTTTCCACACCTCAAACAAAAGAAAATGTCACAGACATCATGTGAAAAGCAATCACATACAATTCAGGGTAAATGAACAGTAGCAGCAGTATTTTTTTCATCTCCTTCTCCAACCAACTATTATTTTTTCTTTTGAACCTGTTCACTACTACTGTACATTACAATCTATCACAGTGCGGAATGGGCATTTTGTGTGCGCAAAGATCTGTCTTTTATGATTGTAGCCTACATTCAGAAGCAGAGAGGTCTTAAAATTATGTTTATTGTTATTTTAAAACTATCTTAATGACTAAATGTCCCTATAAAACTAAAGAAACAATGGCAATTTAATGATGAATTTCATTGTGGAGGATATAAGGTACTGTACAGTACATACAATGTACTGTATATATATAAGTTGTATTGCTTAAATGAAAAGGTTTTTTGTGAAATCTCACATATCATGAAACAGATTCTCATTATAAAAAGACTTAGTAGCAATTTGACTGAATTGGATTAAACACATTTTTCAAAGGTTGCTTTGGGAATTTCTGTATCATGCGATTGGTCACTGCACTTAGTATTATTGTGCATGGTATTCCTGTTCTCCTTTTCAAACAGTGCATAATTAATATGGATCTCAGAACAAGACACAGGCTTAAAATGCAACTTTTAAATGATCTTTCTTGAGGGGGAAAAGTTGCACATGATTTTCTGGGGGAAATATTGATTTATATAGCAAGAAATGAATTTCTTATGTCACTATTGTGGAGTTTAGAGTGGATTCTAACCGAAGAAAAGAAGGAAACACTCTTAATGTCATTTTCAGCTTTGACAAACAGACCATTATGCTGCTTAAATCAATTAGTGAATTTTGTTTCATAAACTGTTAAGGGATTGAGTTAATCCAGTTGATTTTTCATTTAGATACTATTGCTTATTAGCTCTGGAAAAAGAAACGGGTGAGGTACTGTCACATACTGTAACTGCTGTAGATTGGAAAGGATGTCTCACAAGTATCTCATATCCAATAAGGAGGTGGGGAAAATCTGAGGTGTTTTGGGGTTTCAGTCCATCCACAATCTATTGAAAATAATTGATTCTTTTGAGTGCAAGAAAAACATTACAGGATGGCAGAAAATGTTAGGAGCCATGATGCCATGACTAACAAATTAAACACATTAACATTGGTCTCAGGGCACTAGATGAACTTTCATTTAAAAAAGTTTACTTAAAAAGATTAAAATCATCACCACGACAAGAAAAAAACTGCTGTTTTAACAATTCACACATAATACAACTTACAGTACATACCCTTAAGAGCATGCTCTAATTTGAACTGTCATAGTTAAAAATGATAATCAGCATGATTACTGAGCAGTAGATTTAAAGTTATAATTGTAGTTTTTTTTAGTGATGTCTAATTACTATTTATTATTATTGTCTGTACAATATATGTACAGTATGGTGTGAGCTAACTCCTTAGGTAGACTGTGAACAATGAGACAGAGTATTTTTCTAAATTCTGTAATATACTGTAAAATTGTATTTGCACAGCAGCTTGTCATTTGAAAGTATTTAAATAAATGAAACTGATGTTCTATTTTTCCTTTTTTTTCCCACTGTGTAAAGTACAGTACCTGAAGGTCAATCAAGGAAAGCATTTCCAGATAACAGACTACATTAACATAATATGTGAAAAAAATAATTTGGTGGTCCTTATTTTCCTGTATGTATTTTAGTTTTTACCAAAGCTGTTTTGTTAGTATTATATTTACAGTTGGATGCTGTAACGAGTTTAATAGTCGAATCCAGCCCTTTAAATTCGAGCTGCACTTGCCATAAAACGCATATGAAATTTGTAAAGAAAAAACTATATCAATTATTTTCTTAAAAATTATATAATGAAGGACCTGTAGTAGAACTGCATTATGATTGTCGCAAAAATAAAGTTGCGTTGTATAACAAAGGGATCAGATAATACAATGAATATTTATGGATTGTTTAAAAGGCCCTGATGATTCTCCTGATTGTAATATGCTAATGCATGGAAATTACTGTGCATATTTAACCTTTATCTCCTTTTTATGTCCTGTTGTTTGTGCAATACGAAACTTTAGCAGTATTTTAACATCTTTTTGTGCTATCACGGTTCATCACACAGTAAGCCAAATAAAACAGTAAAAATGAAACTGCCAATACACTGTACCTAAGATTGAACTGCAGAACGTACTGAGATAATAACATAAAAGAAAGAAACTTTTTGAATATGACAATAGTATTTTCTTTGAACGTTTGCTCTCATTAAAATTTGAAATTCAAAAGTTTGGAGCTCCGAGTCTTATTGGGGGCAAAATCGTGTTACATAAATGAAAGAGCTTTGCCATAGCAGGAGCAGACATTAACCGAATACTAAACATATAAAAAATGTAAATAAGAAATGTCAGTTTTTATGTACTGTTTGTAGAATGTCTTTGGGTTTCAAGGTCAGATTAAATCACTCAATGATCTGACAAGATTTAAATCGTTTCTGTGAGTGAGACGAAGTTACTGGAATTTGGGGGAATGTTAATTCTACCTGGTTCGACACGCACTTTGAAAAAGTTACTGCGATCACCCATTTAAAACAATCAATGTAAAACCGCCACAGGTTTTTAAGCTTGCAATGCGGCTTGTATACAGTTAACTTCCGTAAATTTAAGCGTTTGTAGTGAGCTAAAACTCCCGTATAATATCCGAATTAAAACCACGCAAGTTTCCGGAACACAGTGAAAAACAACAAAAAACACTAGGCCAACGCGAAACAGTTATGAAAACTGGAAGAACCCGAATAAAAAAAAACAACTCACCGACAAAGTCATGGACCAGGTCCTTGATGAGGTGACCGACGATAGCGTAGGCCACCACCACCACCACGAGTGCTGCCATGACCAAGTATAGCACGGCTTTGGGGAGCGGAATGGCATCCCTGGCTGGTGGTTTGTAGTCCCTGTACAGGAGTTCATTCTCTGAGTAGGAATACTGAAAGAGGTGCTCCAGCCCTGTGGTTTGGTTCGTGGAGTTCAGAGGAGGGTTGTTCACGCTCATGCCGCTGAGGTCGGGCTCTAATACGGTGACTACAGTGCTCGTTGTAGCCTCCACTTTTTCAATACCTTGGTGGACCAAACCGGCCGTTTTGTTAACAAGTGGCAAGATCTGCGAAAGGAAATAGCTCCAGTCTTTAATGGCACTAGTGTTGCATAAAATCATGATGCCTTACAGCAGTTACTACTACAATTTCTGCTACCAAAACCAACACTGTTGCTACTTCTTCTATAAAAGATGACAATTATACGTCAAGGTAAATTTGAAAAAAACAAAAGAAGATCACTGCTGCGATATTTTCTCTAACAGCGAAAAGGTTGTTTTTCTAAATAGATGCTCTGTGAGAAAACGCTCCATTGCGGAGATTATTCTTCAGAGTTGGATTTCAGTTTTCTATCATGTTGTCTTTACACGAAAACCATACCAAGGTTAAATTTAGCATCATTAATGAAATACCGTATGGTTTACAGTATTTTCATCCAGATTGGGAGTTAATGATATATCCAATATATAAACTACATAAGAACAGCTCACCTGTATTTCGACATGCAAAAAAAAAAGAACTCACACAACATCCGGTTAAGAAAGTTATTATACCTTTGTTCATGAAAATAAAACAATAAACGCTCTTGTGTATGTATGTTTCCTTCATACTAGGACAGCTGATATTTAGTTATTCAATCCACACACACGCACAAAAAAACCCCGTCAAACGTCCTTATCTGTAAAACTCACGCAATGTTGTTTCAAGATCAACTCTTTGGTCCAGGTGAGTGCAACTTTCCAAATATCCTTGGCACAGAGCAGAGGCACGTGTGGATTCCTTACGCAAAAACAAGAGTTATTGCATCCTTTCTTTCTTTCCAGCTTTGAACTGCACTACACTTACTTATCCTTGCTGCGAGAACCTTGTTTTCCAAGATGTAGATATTTCCATAGTACGGGAGAAAACCCCCTTAAATTTGACCACCGTTCAGTGTTTTCCCTGGGAGCTCTAGGTAAGTGAACTCGCGGACTGCGCTGCGCCAGCAATGGTGAGATTCCTCAGATGTCTCCTAAATTGACTGCGAGTGGAGCTGTCCAGTGCTGAATTGAGATTAGAGGGATTAGAGCGGAAACTAGAGAGAAAAACCGCTCTACTTCATCTGCTCCCGTATGGATGTGTATTGCTGTTTACAGTACATAATCAATCCCCGTTACACAACGTATTTAGCTGTTCGCTAACGGTGATAGATGCAAAGTATGCTTTTTATATAAAATAAATCCAATTGGACCCATGCACTATTGTATGTACAGTATAATATAGGGTTAAGTAGCCTGCAGGAAAATGCATTTTATTATACAGTATGTATCTACACGTATTTTTATTAAATTGTTTTATTTATCTTGTTAGTTTCCTCCTCACCTCTCGTGACTTTATGTTTTCCTACTCCCAGCCATTTGTGGGTCTGTTGAATAATTCCAAATAAATGCTAGGGATTTACTAAATAAATCCACTTAAAAACTTTGTGTTATAGAAAATGATTCAGTTGAGATGGCCGGAGACGCCTTGCTATAATTCCACAAGACGTTAATCAAGCACCTCAATCTTAAATCTTAAACAAAGGCTTTAGCGTTCGCTTAATAAGGACTTAATCAACAGATTGCAGACTGAAGTGTTTGTGTAACGATGCATTGTATAAGAAAAATAACCGTGTGAAACAGAGAAAGCCGTCGGGAATTCTAATTACTCGAAGCTCACTGAGGCACAAGAATGATCTGACTTGTATTCTCTCACGCAAAGTGATTCTGGCTCTGGCAAATAAGTGAGTCAAAACGAGAATCCGACGTCTTAGTCACTAAAGAAAGCAGTGGGGGTGGGGCGGAAGGTATTTGTATTAGAGAGAGAATTACTTTACTTAGAAACTCTCTCTTTAGAGCTCTCTTGCGAACTCCCGATAGTTACAGCAGGCTGAAGTCCTCTGTAATGCGGGTCCAACTCACGTGTTGCCACAAGATCCTGTCCCAAGATGACCTTCTAGGTGACTATTGAGAGGTTAGAAGGTTTTGTATCACGAAATATTCTTCCCGCCCAGCAGTAATCCCCATGTATACTGTACTTTTCATCATAATGACAGCACGGCTAACTACAAACGTTTTTCTTTGTTTTCTTATTCCGTTTCCTTTAGAATGTACTGTACAGCTACGAAGGACGGTCTGTTGTTCTGCACGAGACGTTATCAGGCGATTTTCAGAAAAGACCTACTTAACTGATCTAATAAATTACCGCCTTCTACACTCAAAAGGCTTAAAACATTAGACATTTTAAGAAACCTAGTGTGATTTTTTCCACGTTTCTCTTTTCGCCTCACCTCCGTAGGCACACCCACCGACTCATAGAGAATGTGAGTTCTCTGGAGATAGCTCCGATAGATACATTTTCACAGCCTGCAGTTACCTGTATTTAGCACTTATTAGACTGCATTAGCGTGACAGTTTACTTTAATGTGCCGCATTCAGATGTGTACAGTATTTGTGTGTTATAAGGAACACCTTTAAACATTAGTGTGATATGACTCATGGGAATGTACTGTAAATATTAATTGGCTTTGACTATTTCACGACGATAATATGCACAACTTTAAGTTCTTAAGCAGAGTTCTTAACTGACATTTTGGAGGGATAACGACAACCAAGTCACTTTTACCCTGCTATTCTAATGAAATTATAATTATTCCCAAAAGCTATGTGTTATTGTTTCATAAGTAAACCTCTTTTCGCATTTGCCTTCTGCATCACTTCTCTACCTGTGCCGCTACACCTTGGTTAACTCCTCAGTCTGCATGAGGGTCCCAGTCTCCTCGCCCAGGGCCGAACCTCACTATACTTAAGCACTCAAAAAATATCCACAAAAACACCTCTAACTCATGGGTGGCATGGTGGACGGTGATTACAACTGCTGTCTCACATTGCTATGGATTCAGGTCCTTGGGTGCTATCAGTGTGGAGTTAGTTTGCTCTTCCTGTGTTTGCATGGGTTTCCTCTTGGTGTGCTGGTTTCCTTCCACAGTCCAAAGACATGCTGGTAGATTAATTGGCTTCTGGTGTGAGTGTGTGTGTGTTTGTGTCAATGTGTGCCTTGCGATGGACTGGCATCCTGTCCAGGGTGTATTCTGCCTTGTGCCTTTTGCTTGGTGGGTTAAACTCCAGCTCCTTCCGTGACACTGTACTGGATAAGTGGATTAGAAGATGTGTTAATGGACATCTAGCTCTTGGGTTTCATTATTTGTGGTGAATTCTGCTTCAGATACCATATCTGAAGTTACTAGCTACAGATGGCTATTTTCACTTGTTATGGCTCATCCACATGACGTAGTGTAGCTAACTATAATATTTAGTCTGTATAATTAAACATTCCATTATCCATTATCTCATTATCCTGAAAGGTGTTCCTTTTAAAAAAGGATGGGTATATACTGTATACAGTATATATACAGTATGGAAAGAGGGATTTTGAGGTAGTCAGGAAAAGGAGGCAGGGGTGTGATTTGGCCAGTGTTTAATCCTTCAAACACATGCACACATAGATACATAATAGTGGAGTACTCCATTCCTAAGCACCCACAGAACAAAACGCATTGTAAATAAGACCAGGCACTTGTGTTAGCTGAAATTGCCTTGTGTACCATTGCTTTTGTAATAATGCAATCATGACTGTGAAATTAGTCTGTGGAACAAGAGGAATGCTTTAATATGCCTCCCTGTCACTTGATTAATCCTCCTGCTCTTCATTGTCTCGAGGTCTTTTCCCATTCAGAGCTTCAGTGTCAGACTGCCTTGGCTCAGGCCTGGGACATTCATCAGATCAGCCCCGTCCAGCAGCCCCTGTCCTTTTTGTATTAATATTGGCCACCTCTCATTCCAGATGACAGGAGGGATGGATTATTTCTTTCTGATTTACAGACTCCTTTCCACACAACACCTTCAGGTCAGCCCCGGAACAGTTTAAGCTGTGTGTATGTCTGTGTGTGTGTGTGGGGGGGCTCCATTGGAAAGTGCACCTGCATGTCCTTTAGGAAGATAACATTTTAAGTGGCAGAAACCTAAGGCAGGTTGGAACATGTCTCCTTCCATTACACAGAGCACTTGAGACAAGACTTTATGTTTCTTCTCTAACACCATCTGACAGTGTTAGTTTTTTTTTCTTTTAAACATACCATCTGTACCTTCCTAACTCTACTCTGGCAATCAGGGTTTATGCATTAGAGTCCGCTAGGGATATAGTTTTTATCAGTATAGTTATTTTTCAACACAAAACATACTGTAGATATTGTCATTTTACAATGTATGTGCTTTTCCTGTAACACCACCCTACAAAATGTGTTTTCCCTTGGTGCTGTATTTTCTTTTCTTGACATACTGTGAAATATTTCTGTAATTGGTTGATTGGGAGACAATAGAAGTGTTTTTTGCTCATCTTCAGCTCTTCCCACACTAGTTCTCTGTCCAAGTCATATTTCTTTTTAGTCTCATTGCATGAATGAAAAAATAGCTTGGTGTCTAAATAATTTAATAGTAATGACTCACCTGGTTGCGACACTGTATCATGCAACAAAAAAACAAAGCCCACATCTTGTACAGATACGTAATGTGTATATGGGGAGGTACTTTTTTCAATTAACTATCCAATGTATCAATATCATTTTCATTTTCAATAAACCATCATTGGAGTGGGAAGAATAAATTATTTCACCACATTCTAAATAATATCTATGGTAGCCCATTTCCGCCAGGGAGTAAAAAAAACCACGGTATGGTAACTCGCAATTGCGACTTTATATCTCAGAATTGCGACAGGGGAGGGCGGTGCCATCACAACACTACAACCAGATCGAACTACAGAACTACAACCTGTATGTCGGCCTTTCCGTTACACTGCTGTATATTGCAACGCTTACGGCCGACAGGCACTGTGTAAGAGCCGGCGTACCAGAGCGGGTGACGTCACCGCCCTTCCCTGTGATAGCAGGACCACAGCTACTGGGCTGTGGAGAGATCTCTCTTTAGCTCACGGGGCTGGGTCGCTGCAGAGAGACACGGGAGTCCCGGGTTCGAGCCTCCAGTCGGGATGGGGCCGACCAGATGCGGCAAGGGCGCCCGCCTGAGCCCCCGTTGCGTTACATTGGTGTCAGAAGTGGGATGGGATAGCCCTTCGTCGGGGACAGCGATTTAAGCGGGGGAGAGTGTAACGCTTACGGCCGACAGGCACTGTGTAAGAGCCGGCTTACCAGAGCGGGTGACGTCACCGCCCTTCCCTGTGATAGCAGGACCACAGCTACTGGGCTGTAGAGAGATCTCTCTTTAGCTCACGGGGCTAGGTCGCTGTAGAGAGACGCGGAAGTCCCGGGTTCGAGCCCCGGACGGTGCAGGGGCCGAACAGATGCGGCAAGGGTGCCCGCCTGAGCCCCCGTTGCGTTACAATATTCATTAATCGTACAGGATCATAGGATCTATAGGCCTGAAGACTTGTCTTGTACAGTGCCCTGATAAAAATCAAATTACATGAATATTTATGAAATCACATTTCCGCCAGTGAGGCTTCCATAGTACCCGGATGGAATAGTGTACGGTGGGCTTTTTAAAAAACTTTTTATTTAAACACCGGAAATACAAAAACGGAGACCGAATATGAAAAAAGATACAGAGGTAGACACTTCACATCCAGAGGAATTCGCAATTATAAAAGCTGAAACTTATTTTTTTTTTCATATTTCTATTGTATGTCTTTTTTTACTTAATAAAGGTCTTCCAATGCAGTGAGGCACGAACTAGGGTGGGAGCGGGGAGGGCACAAGCCCTAGAACCTGAATCCGTTACAATAACAAAAGGAAAGACAATGAAATGTGGGCTATTTCTAAGTCTTAAATGTGAGATAAAAAGTCGGAATTCTGAGATACAAAGTCGCAATTGCGAGATACCATATACTTTACTCCCTGGCGGAAACGGGCTTCCATAAATATCAGATAAAAATGGACAAAAGTTGTTTTTTTTTCTGTGAAAGGTACAATCAATGCACAAAAGTTGTTTTTTTCTTTGAAAGGTACAATCAATGCCCCATACAGTATGTATCTTTGACTTTTCATCCTAAAAAGAA